GCCTGTCTGGGCTTCAGCATCTCCACTGATCAAATGTGGGGAATAACAAAATAACAACCCCACTGGGTTACTTGGGACAACATATATCAGGCCCCGGGCACAGTGCCCAGTCCCTTCCAGACCTTTCTGTAAGTCAATCTGCTCCAAGTCACCCCATTAAGTCCAGGCCCCAAAGAGATTAGACGGTAAGACCCCAAATCTATCGAACAGCTTCAAGACTGGTCCCACTACCAGCAATGTGTTCTCAAGCCAGTCACCTGGCACTTTTGTGAGCTTTCGTTTCCTCACCTTAAAAATGGACATAATGTTAATAACTAGATCTGAATGTTGGAATGACTGAAGGGGATAATGTTTCCACAAAGGGCCTTGAGGACCCGAAGCCATGTGCAAGTGTGGGCTGTCAAGTTTGGTTGACTTTTAACCTGACCATTGCAAGAAAGGCTCTTTTGAGACATCACAGTCTACAAGGGCACCCTGGCCCTGGCCTCGCCACCCTAAAGTGGAGCAGGCAGCTAAGGCACTGTCAGGTAGCGGACTGCTTCTGGGCAAGGTGGCTTGGACCGGGATTGAGAACCTCCTCTGTGAAGTGTGGTAACAGTGGTACTGTTACAGGGCAGCGGCCTGCCACAAAACTGAGGCAGTCACGGAGATCCCTGCTTCAAACCCCAATTCTTGCAATCATGCCAGAAAGATTTCAGATACGTCACTCAGAATAACAGGCATGAGGTTACCGAAGGGATAGGAAAAGGGAAAAAGCAACACTCTCACAGGAGAGAGTGGGTCCTCTCAGAGAGAAGGACAGTGAGCTCCTAATGCACTCCAGTTTTATTGGGAGTCCCCGGAAGTTTCCAGAAAGACCCACCCAGATCCATCTCTTAACTTTTGACCAACAGCAGAATGAAATCAGACTTTCAAGTCACCACTGTCATGACAACTCTAGGTCACTTTGGCTCATGCTGACTGGTTCTAATTGGAACCTGGGGAATTATACTTATCTCCCTGATTTCCATGATCTGGTCTGTGTAAGGGTCACAGAAGTCCACCCTCCCCACCCCACCCCCACCTCAGGGTAACTTTGTTCTTATCAGCTTTTTGGCCTGCCTTTCTCCGCAGATAACAGGTTGTTTGCTGAGCAATGTAATATATGCTCTATTTAATCCAGGCTGTAGGTAAATTGTTTTTTTTTTTTTTAAAAAAAAAAAAGCATGTGGGGGTCAGCACAGTGGACTCAGTTTATAGAACTGTTCCCTCAACTTTGAGGTCCCCCTGCTCATGTTTCGCTGTTCCCTGTCAGAATCTCCTCAGGGGGTGACTGTAAGGGTCCAAGACAGTGGCACATTTTGCTGTTAATATTGTTACTGTCATTCTAGTTATAGTGCTGCTATCACATTATTCCAATCTCTAGTTTCTGAAGTGCTTCCACTTTTCTCACCGGGTGTGCAACATGGGTGGGATTGCTGCATTTCATAGAAGAGGCTCAGCCTTTAGATTTCAGGCCCAAGTGCAAGATCTTTCCCAGGAGGGATATGAGAGCCCACATTTGGGAAGGCACTGAACTTAAGACAGTGCAGCCCTCTGGGTCTGAGGCCTTGGGAAAGTTTGGAATTCAAGCCTTTCCTGGAGCCAGGTTGCCTCCCTGGGCCTCCAGCAGTATCTTGGCCCTGGCAAAGCAGCACAGAGGTGTTCGTCACCAGCCACAGCAGGTGAGCAGCCTACAAGGTGCAGCAGGCCTGCCCTAGCCTGGGGGTGGCTCTTCCCCATTGTTCTGGGCAGGCATGGCCACCAGTATGGGAGGGAGTGGCCAAGGCATGATGGAAACCAGGCAAACACTTGCAAACCAGCAGTCCCACCTCCCAGCAGAACCCAAACCAGAAGCTCTCAGACACCTCTTTCCAGCTGGCCAGAGAGGCCTGAGTCTGCCTGTTGGTAGGAACCATGAATGGGCTTTGGCGTTCAGTGGGATATTGCTTGGCATGGCCCTCAGGGCACAGGGTCTGCTCTGTACCTGCCTGGCACAAGATCAAGAAACCCAGGGGAGTCCTAGGTGGGACACAATTTTTGGTCCTGTGGCATGGCTAGTATTTTAGCACAGAAGAATGTGAAACTGGAAAGTGGTCACGCTAATATCTGTTTTACTACTAACCATCAGGTTAAGCTCATTTCCGCACAGTTATAAGAGTTTGGAGGTTTGTGTCCATCAGACCAGGACTGAATCCTGGTTGTGCCAACTTCCAGTTTTGTGATCTTGGGCAAGTCACTTAGCCTCTGGGTCTCCTCTCAGTTTCCTCCTCTGTAAAATGGAAATAGCAAGTTTACCATTGAAGGACACTGGGTGAATCAAAAAAGTAGCCCGGGGTCATACCAGGCGCACTCAGTAAACGGATGTTCTGGGTGCCCAGATACCTCCCCTGGGCAGCTCTGGCTCCCTCAGGCAGTCCCTTGTCAGGGTGCCTCAGCTGCTCAGATCCCTCTCCACAGCACTCCTACCACACAGCACCTGTTCGGGGTGTGTATTTTTTTTTCATTCTGTCAATAAATATTTATATTCCAGGCCACGTGCTAACAGAGCAGTGGACAAAACTAACCTGTCCTGCCTTCATGGGGCTCACGTTCAAGGGGCCGGGGTGGGGGCAGCATACGTCTGTTAAGATAACGACTGTGGAGGGGGAGGGTGGAGAGGTCACCATCTTAAATAAGTAGGCAGGGTCTCCTGAGAAAAGTGGTATTTCAGCAAAGATCTGCAGGCTGTGAGGTGGAGTAGTGAAGAAGGGGGCAGAGGTGCTCTGGGGAGGAAATGGCAGATACAGGCCCCAGTCAGAGGTGTGCTTGGTGAGCTGCAGGACGGGCCAGGGGCTGGAGCAGGTGATAAGGAGCACCAGGGTCAGAGACGAGACCTGGGGCCAGGTCAGGGAGGACCTCAGAGTCGTCAGCTTCACTTCAACATGGGGAGCCATCCCAGGGGTCGGAGTAGAAGAGCGAGCTGATCTGACTTTTGTGAAAGGATCCTCTGGCTGCTGGGTTGAAGATAGACTTTAGGGTGGGCAGGGGAACAGTCACTGGCTGTTGCGAACACTTGGATTTAGAAGAGCTCTTGGACCACTGCAATAGCCCAGGTGGAGGAGGCTGCACCAGGGCGGGGGCAGGAGTGGGGAGAAGCAGTAGCATTCTGGAGTGTTCCTAGGATATTGCCATCAGCATTTGGTGGTAAAGTAGATGCGGGGAATAAAAGATAGAAGGGACTCGAGGACAACATCGGGTTTTTGGCCTGAGCACTAGAACGCAGTTACCATTTACTCACAGAGGAACAACAGGAAGAAGTAGCAGGGGGGAGAGACGGGAAGAAAGAGGATATGCGGAGTCTTGAGATGCTGAGTCAGAGAAAACTATCAAAGGGCAGCGGGGCAAGGTCTGGAGCCCAGGGCAGAGCCCAGCTGGAGACACACACGCAGGTGTGAGCCACGCTGGAAGGTAACCGCACCTAGAGGAGATTTCCAAGGCAAAGAGAGTCTGGGACAGAGCTCCTGGCCCCTGACATGAAGAGGACAGGCCTGAAGAAGCCAAACAGGGGCAGTTGGGGAGCCAGAAAGATAGGCGGCTCCAAAAGGAAACCCAAGAGGGGAGCTGCCAATTCTGCCCACAGGGCTGGCAGCAAATACCAATGAGAACCAGAACGGGCCATTCCACCCAGCAGGTTGAGGCACTGGTGACCTGCTGGAGTACCCGGGGTGCTGGAGAGGGGCAGGGCTGACGAGTGGGTTCAAGAGGGAACAGGGAGAGCTTTCAAGAACCCTGAGTACAGGAAGCTCTTTGGAGAGCTTTGCAAAAAAAAAAAAAAGGGGAGCAGAAGAATAAAACAGTATCTGCAGAGGGGCTGGGAGGTCAGGAGAGGATCTTCTGCAAGTTGAAGCAGCAGCAGGAGTGGAGGAAGAATGAGATGACGGGGGAGGCAGCTGGAGCAATGCCCCCAGGGGCCAGAGGAGGGACCAGTGCACATCCTCCCCTCCCCTTGGCCTGCCAACTCCTGCTCATCCCTAGAGGGTCACTGTGAAGGTCACTTTCTCAGGGAAGTGTTCCTGACCCCTCCAACGAGGTCAGTACCCCTTATGGCCTTTCACAGCACATGATGCTTCTGCTCCCAGTGCCTGAAAACTCTGATGTTGTGGAAGCCCCGTGAGGGCAGGGGCTGGCTGGCACGCTGCTCGGTATACTGTAATGTTCAGTGGATGTCAGGATGAATGGTCCAAGAACAGAACTGAAGCAAATCTGGAGACATGTGTCTGTTTTGTGCTCCCGTTTGATATAATCACGTTGCAATGATCAGGACTGTGCAGTCACTGGCTGTTACAAATATTTGGATTTAGAAGAGCTCAGTTGTTTGTTCCTGTTTGGGACTCTGTAGCCTAGCTAACGCACAGACCAGAGCCATGTGACCGGACACATCCTTCTACTGACACTGTCCACTACAAGCCCAACACATTCCATACTATGTCTAGTAATTCATTCATTTAACAGGCTGAAAGCCTGCTCAGTGCCATGCTAGGGAAACAAAGTTGAGTCAGACGTAGTACCTGCCCTCATGGACCTCAGGTCCAGAAGAGGAGACTATTTAGCAGTGTGGCAGATCACACCTGTAACAGGAGCTTCAGGGGAAGGCTCAGGATGAGGCGATATGACAGTCAGAGGATTGCAAGACAGACTGTGCCTCCTCTTTCCCACTTCAAGCTTCCCTGAAGGTGGTTCTCAGGCTCCAGGAGTGGCAGGACCGGGACCCTGACATCCATATGTCCAGGTCCTCCTTTTCCTCTCTACCTTGCTGGGCCTGCTGTCTCTTGTCACTTCCAGAATGGCTCCCCTGCCCCCTGACTCCAGAAGAATAGAATGTGGTCTCCCAAAACTGTATTTGGGAAATGTTCCACCTGGCAAGAAGGCTAGGACCCTGATGGCACTGGTTACTGGCAGGAATCGAACTGTCACTGATTCTCCCCTCTGTTTACTTTCAGGGTTTCATAGAATCCATTCACAAAGAATAACCACCACATTGCAAGGACCATGAGGCCACTGTGTATCACGTGCTGGTGGCTGGGACTGCTGGCCACCCTGGGAGTTGCTGCAGGCCCCGAGGATGGTTTTGAGGGCACAGAGGAGGGCTCACAGAGAGAGTTCATTTACCTCAACAGGTACAAGCGGGCGGGCGAATCCCAGGACAAGTGCACCTACACCTTCATCGTTCCCCAGCAGCGGGTCACAGGCGCCATCTGCGTCAACTCCAAGGAGCCAGAGGTGCTCCTGGAGAACCGCGTGCACAAGCAGGAGCTGGAGCTGCTCAACAGCGAGTTGCTCAAGCAGAAGCGGCAGATTGAGACCCTGCAGCAGCTGGTGGAGGTAGACGGCGGCATCGTGAGCGAGGTGAAGCTGCTGCGCAAGGAAAGCCGCAACATGAACTCACGTGTCACGCAGCTCTACATGCAGCTCCTGCATGAGATCATCCGCAAGCGGGACAACGCACTGGAGCTCTCCCAGCTGGAGAACAGGATCCTGAACCAGACGGCTGACATGCTGCAGCTGGCCAGCAAGTATAAGGACCTGGAGCACAAGTACCAGCACCTGGCCACACTGGCCCACAACCAGTCAGAGGTCATTGCTCAGCTTGAGGAGCACTGCCAGAGGGTGCCCGTAGCCAGGCCTGTACCCCAGCCGCCTCCTGCCACCCCACCCCGGGTCTACCAGCCACCCACCTACAACCGTATCATCAACCAGATCTCTACCAACGAGATCCAAAGTGACCAGAACCTGAAGGTGCTGCCACCACCTCTGCCCACCATGCCTGCCCTCACCAGTCTTCCATCCTCCACTGACAAGCCATCAGGTAAGTCTTTCTGGGATCCCATCCCACGTGGGCCTCAGAGCCCGGTACCAGGCTTCCCTTGGCTGTGACCACAAGTGGGGGAAGAGGCACAGCCAGTTGAGATCAGACCAAAGACTTGCACAATTCTCTGGCAATCCCTTGAGCAGGCCCCTGGAGCCAGTGGGGTAAGGGGAACTACATTGCTTTGATGGATGTCTAAAGGTAGAACCGGGAAATGGGGCAGACACCCCCTGGCTTCTGAGAGAAGAGAAGGGAGGCTCATACTCCCCAGGCTCTGTAGGAGATGCTCTATGTTGGCAGCTGGGATGTCTTTCCTGCAGGCTTAGGGATAGGCAGGGCCCAGAGCTGGCACTTTCTAAATGTCATCCCAGAACAGCAGGCCAAGAGAAAGAGCACCATTACAGTAAAGGTAGGTTAACACACTGCAAGGGCTGGGGATTGGGAAGGTGCGCTTCTCAAATCCCCGAGTTTCCTACAGTCTGCTGGTGCCTGGGATTTTCAATGAGGCTTCCATATACTTTTAAATATACATTTCACCCCAAAATACGGTAATTCTCAGAACACTGTGATGGAGGAGAAATGGGGTCCCTGGTAGGTTTGGGAAATTTAACTAAGACATGGGCGCTGGATGCCTTCAAGCGCATTACCTGATATGTCTTGCAGGTCCTTGGGAGCACTCCTATTAAGTACCTTGCCCACAGGCTGAGGAGGGCAGGCTGCATTTGAGTTCAGACCTCTTCACTTTAACTCTTAAGCTGACTCTTCTGTGTGAAAGGACTCTGAGAATCCTCAGTCTGGGTGGAGTGGGCCAAAAACCCCTCCTGCCAGAGCTTGGCCTCTCATTTACCCAGGAGGCAGCAGCACTCCCAGTGGGCCGCCGTGAGAGGCAGGGTCATCTCCACAAGAGCTAACCACATATCTGCTCCATGGCAGTACTTTGGGTACTGCTTTGTTGTATAAGCAGGGAAGTATTTTTATTGAAAATACCCTATTTCATATTTTTAAAAGTAATCACCAGAACTGGGAAGAGCATTCTCTTCATATATCTGAGGAGCTGAACCTGCATGCCCGAGGATGGCCAGTGGGCAGGACAGAGCTTGCTGTTTGCAGGTCAGTAGGGATAGAGGGCAGCTAGGCACAGGGCAGAGCATCTGTCATAACATCTCGTAGGACAGACTGGACTGGGCATGGGGGTTAAGAACAGGTGCCTTGCAGAGAACTGACCTGGTTTAGAATCCTGCTTCCTCCACTGACTAGTTCTAGGACAAGTCACTTTGTCCCTCTCAACCTCAGCTGCCTCACCTAAAGCTTCTGATAGATTCTATTTTAATCTATCCTCAAATGACAGTTCTATAAAATCAAACACTGTAAAACCTGTGTTTATTTTTCTGTTTGTTCTCTTTCTCTGTGGTGCTGGGGATTGATCCCAAGGCCTTGCGCATGCTAGGCAAGTGCTCTACCACTGATCTGCACCTCCAGCCAAAAACTGCTGAGTGTCTTCATCTTAAAACCAGGAGACTAAAACAAACAATCCCTCTTGAACTCTGGCATTCCAAGGCTGATGACTGATCTATCTGCACACATGCCTGTTTTACATCAGAAGCTCCAAAAGAGAGGGTAGGGTGTGTTAATAGGTCTTTACCTAGAAGGTGAAATGTGCCATTTGGGCACCAAATGAAGCTCAGCTGAATGTGGTCATAAACCTGACATGAGTGACTACCCAGAAGGTCTCCACTTTTCTAAACATCTCTAGTTTCTAGTTCAACAATTTTGGACATTCCTAGGCTTGAACTAAGCTGGTAGATTCAGAGTGAAAGAATAAAGATCTGAGTTTGCATCCAGGCTCCACCCCTTGTTAGCTGTCTGCTCATGAGAAAGTTATTTAACTCCTCTGAGCCTCAGATTTCTCTCTGTAAAATGTGACAAGTGCCATAACCACTGGGTCACGTGGTGGACACTCAGCACAGCCAGCAGGGAATGCTGTGCTCCTGCAGTGCTGCCACAATGCTGAGTCTGGCTTCCTGCTCTTCATGGCACTAGGCTTGGGGAACCAGTTAGAAATGTTGTCCCTGCTCACAGGAACTCAGTCTGTGGAGGTGGCAGGTGCATGATTGCATCTGGGATCTATCCAGTGCTCATCATTTCTATTCCCTAAAAGCAGCACTTCAGTTATAACAAAGGATTTCTCTGGGAGGGAACATCTGGTGAGGCAAAAATTTCCAGATCATTGTGAGAATTTATGGGGCCAGCATAACAGAGAACTTAAAAGCAGTGATGCAGTGAGTCAACTCCAGCTGGGGGAACTGACCCCGGAGTGCTAAGAGCCCCTCAAAGGGGGAGTACGAGGCACTGGGGACACAAAGGTAGCATGACTGAGTGTGCCCTGAGGAGAGGGGAAGACTGCACAGAGATGGGACCTCTGTGCTGCATTTTGAAGGATTTGTAAGAGTTCAAGAGGCAGACCTGGGAGCTGGGAAACCAAGTTACTGGTAGGTCCCTCAGAGAGATGGGTCTGTGCAAAGACCCAGGGACACGGCCCTGCTCCCGGCCTCCCAAAGGATCCCAACCTCCTGCTGCTTCATATTCCAGCATGATCTGAAGTACAGGTAAGGGAGGCTATGGGCTGCTATGGATCCAAGGCTCCTACCCTCACTGCACCCTTTCTGTCCCACTTGAAGAAGTACCTGGTGTGGGACGGCATGACAGTGTGATCTCATCCCATTATGGAGATGGCTGAGGGCACATTTATTTATTTATTTATTTAAGCAAAGCCTCCCCAAATGTTGGTGCACGATCCTTAGTAGCAAATTTTTTGTGGCCCATCTTACCACTGAGCTCCCACACAAGCAGACACCAAACTGTGAGGGGGAAGCAGAGGGTTTCCTTCTACCGCGCATTTGCCTAGCCAATCGGCAGAGGGCTCTTATCTGAGCTTGGGCAGGTTCTAGTCCCTGAAGACAAAACCCTCTCTGTGCTCTCTCCCAACAGAGCCTTTATTCCCAGTGACATGACTCAGCCAGAAACACCTTTGCAATTAGACACCTTTGTACCCAGGCCTCTGCAGCCTCCAGAGCTTTCACCCAGCAACCCCAGAGCCACTGCTCTTTACCCCATTGTTTGGGGCACTGAGCCCACAACACGCCCTTCTCTAGGGGACTGAGGCAGCCCTGGCTCCTTATCTGAAGCTGCATTCACTGGCCTGTTCCTGGCCACAGTGAGATAGTAGCAGGCTGGCACCAGGCCAGGGGGCCTGCTGAGAGCCAGGGTGAAAAGCCCAAGCAGCTTCTGGCTTCCCTGGCTCCTAACCTGGACTCTGTCCTGTCTCCCTCAGGGTTGGCCAGACCTACCTGGGGCATTTGGTTGGGATGAAACTTGTGATGAGGCCTGGAGACCTCTCCCTATGCTCCTACTGCTGCTGTTAAAGGAGAAAGCTGCAGGGATCATTCCCTAACAAGCAAAAGAAAGGGGAGGGTGGACTCTGGACTGACCCCAGAGGCTGACAGGGAAGGACAGTTAGTGCTGCCACAGTACAGTGAGTCCCTGTTGGAAATGAATTTTTAAAAACTAGCAGGAGTGGGCACTTTTGCCATTTTTCTCTCCTGAGACAGAGGACACAGCAGCTCAGTTGGTTTCTCAGTGGATAAAGGAGGAGCTATAAAATTATAAAGTAGCAGAACCGTCAGGGTCCCTCGGATTCCCCAGCATCACCTTCCTATCACAGAACTTGTCCATGTAGAGCTGAGATCGGTCCCTGACTTGTAACTTCCAGGACACTGAGGTTCAGAGAGGTCAAGAAACTTAGTCAAGATGACACAGATAGTAAATAGCTCAGCAAAGCTCAAACCAGGTCTGTCCTAATGACTCTGGGACTCTGAGAAGCTGGAGGGGCACCAGTGTGAAAATTGCTCTACAACACTTACCCTGGCCCAGCCACCGGGGACCTACCTGACCTTCTGTCACTGTTTCATGGTACTGGGTTCCAGAGCAGCCCCTTGAAAAACAGCTCTCAAAAGAGCTAGTGGATGTGTTGTTGGAACACTCATGGTGCTGACAGCCCAGAAGCTGCACAGTGAGACCACTGGGACCACCCCTCCCTCAGCCCACAGAAACAGGGGAGTGCAGCCATGGAAAGAGCCACACAGCCCTGGCTCCTGGGAAATGAGCCAGTGGAGGCTGCAGACCAATCTCATTTAACTATCAAATCTGGACACACCTGAGGGGTTCATTCTGCTCCACATTTCAGTGGATATCTGTCTTTCAATGTAGAGCCAAGCTTGAAGTCCTGGCATCTTTAAATCTTAGTTCTCCAAGAATAGAATCAGTCACTGTAGTCTTTCCTCCAGATCACACTGCTTCACAGACAGCACAGGGCACATGTGGAGATCATCCCTCTCTCATCACAGGCATCTAGGGATGGGGGGACTTGGACAACTTGAACAAGAGTGTTTCGAGAGTTCAAGCAACTTAGCTAAGATGACACAGCTAGCAAGTGGCGCTACCAAGGCTCAAAGCTAGGCAGATTTCTTCCCCTGTATTTTATCTCCACTCACCCTTTATGGTAGGAAATATGTCCATTACATCATGGTTCCTTAGCATGTTGGAATGTTTTGTAACAGAGAAGGAGGTATACGGCACAGTGGCTTCCATTCTTTCTGGAAGTCAAGCAAGCATCAGTCCAGAGGGAAGTGGTGCTGGCCCTGTAGGCAGATAGGTCAGCTTCGCAGCCTGAGCTCCCTGGCCTGACTACCACAGTGAGCTGGAGAGGCCTGGGGTGCAGTGCTGATGTCAAGCAGGGGTGACTGTGGCTATACTTGATTTGAATTTAGCCTTCAAGGTTGCAGAGGCCGAGGGGAAAGCCTCACAGGTCTCCTGTCTTGAGCCTGTGCTGTTCCCACTGTACTCCCCTCTCACCAGCCCCTAGCAAGCTGTGCACCTCTACCCCCAGTGAGACCTCCATAACCCCTCCCCGTCTAACCTCTTTTCTTCTTTGTTTTAAATCC